TTCAGGTAAGAGTGCGCATGATGCCTCTGAAGCTGGTGGGTTTTCCTGTTTCTATGCTCAGATGATGCATGAGAGCAGAGAACCTGGGTGTCACTGGCAAGCAGGGTCGTCGCTAGAGATTTCGGGCCCCATCCCAGTGTATCATACTGGGCCCCCGACCCAGACCAATCCAATTAAGCTCCAAATCCTTTTGGGCCTGTCACTCGGGGGCCCTTGGAATCGCCCCGATTGTACGACATCCCTGCACGGAGGTTCCACCTCTCAGCACGTCGTCAAGGTGGTGCCTTCAACAAGCTTCCTAACCCTACTGATGGTACCTGCTTCACACGCTGTCTGCCTGATGTTCTCCACCAGCTCAGAAGTCCTAAGTGGCATGTAGCTGATCAGAAGAGCAACTGTTACAATGTAGCAGAGTATCACACATCACCCCCAGGCAGCTGCAGGGGAAATTACTGGCTTCATTCCAAATTATGATGGTAATTCGGAGATATTATGTAATTAGAATTAATACAGTTACCATTCAATGCAATATCATCATACAGACATGCAAAGATTTCCTTTCATGATAAGATTGTCATCTACCATCTTTATTTACCTCAAACTTTTACTGCATTATTACATTTGGTATTTTATCTGTAGCACTTTAATGTTTTTTGGAGTTAAATTATTGTATTATTATTATTGTATGTTGACTCATACAATCACCACTCAGGTATACTGCATTCTTTCATTATTTGGGAATTTGTATGTGAAGAGAGAAAGAGATACATGCACTTGTTGCACTAGTGGCCTGAGATGTAGTGCGGCATCGAACACTTCTACAGTTGTGAGGTGTCTTCAGGGTGATCTGAACAGGCTCATCAAATGCTCTCACTCATAAAAGTGAGACAGAGGAATGGAAAACTATGGGAGACAAGGATGGTACTGAATTGTAGCCTAATGCACAACGTCCAGGCCAGACCTTAAAAGTGAGAGGTTTTACACACTGAGCAATAAACTTGATATAACAAAGAGAGAGGAAGCATCTGAGAAAAGCTTGTTTGAATTATATTATAGGGAAGATTTAATGTTGGAGACCAAACTGTTTTTGCTACTGACAACACCTGCATGCTCTTCTGATTCTCCTCCTTCATCTGAGTAAAGGTCTCCATCCTGTGCTGGGAATCTGAAAGCTTGATCTTTGGTGGTGTGAATGGAGACATTCCAGCCCCACTGGGTGTGTCAGAAGTCACATGACCTGGAATCTGCACTCTGCTGATCCAGAACATGAAATACAAACATTACAGGGTTTGTTTTTGAAAATGATTGTAGCTTAAGGTCAAGGGGGGCAACATTTTGAATGACTCCTGCGTTAAATAATATATGTGCGGATGCCGCTCTGCCTCAACAGGAACAGAAAATTCTATCGAGTGGTCCGATGTATTCAAAACTGTTCCTGATTCCAGGAAAGAGTCACAGGGCCATTTGTGTTACCCAATCCAACCCCCCTCCCCCCCCCCAGCCCTGCTTGGGGGTGTGGACAGTAGCACTGCAGCAGATGTCAGGTGAGAGTCTGACCTACTTCCTAGACCCCAGTCGTGATGTGCTGATGTCCAGCAGGTCTGTAATCCTGGCAAACATTAATACCTCTTTAAGTATATTAATACTCGTAGAAATAGCTAAATATTAGTTATCTGGGAGATGCTTTGCACAGCCTCGTTCTAAACGTTTCGCTGTCGCAGCTCCAAACATATGCAGCACGCAAAGCCCATGCCGGTGTGAGGAAACTCAGGGGGAGTTTTGGTTGGCCCTCAGCTTCTCCTTCCATCTCCTCCAGCTGCGAGCCCCGAGACACTTGCCCGAGGCTCTGTTTGGACCTGAAGAGCCGCAGTTACAGTAAAAACGGGCCTTTTCGGTGACAGTCCGTATACTTCTCAGCCGGAAAGCTCTCCGTCATCATTTTTGTAGAGGCTGGTGATTCCGTATTCTGAGACGCTCGCTTAACCCAGCGTAAATTATCTGAGGCATCAAGCCAAGAGGAGCCCATCAAGCAAACATAAGTCAGTTCTTAGGACCAGCATCAAGACACTCAATGTATCCATTCTTTTGGTCCATTATTATACTCAAAATATTCTGACTACGAGTCTCACCTCCTTTTCATAAAGCACATACTGATTTGTTTATTTATTTCAGCTATTTTATGTATCACTGTGCATGCATTCAGGGCGAATTAGAGACACAAATTCACCCTAAACTTCAAGTCAACCGGACTTGTGGGCAAAGCAGGTGTGAACTTCACACACAAAGAGCCCTGGGAACAGATCCTGCCCTCCTGGGGGACTGAAGCCACTGGGCCACTGTGGCACACAGACCAGTTCAGTTTGTCTGCCTTTGTCCATAACGTAACCTACTAGTCAAAAGTTTGGACTCTTTTCTAATCCACTATGCATTCAGTCATACAAATGAATTACTCTGTAAAACTTGCAAAATGTAGGGAGAGCCGTTATTTTTTTTCTCCTTCTTCAGTCTCATTTACCTTTGACCACGTTGGATGGAGCACATCTGAAACATGGATCAGCGCCGTGTAACCTGAGCCTGCGGGTTTCTTGATGTTAAACAGCTTTTATGAGCCAGTGGGAAGCTGGACCTGGGAGGACGTGGATGGGTTACGGCCGCCAAAGACACCCGATCCTGCGGATCTGAGCCGTAACACCTTGGCGGGTCCAGACCCAGCCTACTCGGGTCACGGTGATGTAATGCCCCGGGCTGTCTCTCCGCCAACTCACTGTCATCGGCCTTCCGTCTCCATGTCAACAGCATTTTTTTTTT